TAGTATTACTTTTATAGCATTAGTTATGCAAAATTGAAGAAGCTTTTTTAGGCCAGCCTGGAAGCCTATGTCTGAGTTTCAAACAACTGTTATAAATGGACTTTAGATTCCAGATTAAAGTTGGGACTGCCTGTTTCTAAGATTTTAAAAAATATCAGATACAATAAAATAGGGCATAAAAACATATTCAGGAACAAATTTCTCACATATATATAGTCAATATGGTTTTTAAATTTTTCCAAATATGAGAGAAACATGAGCTCTGAGGGATAAATAACTTGTGGATAACTGTTGAGTTAAATAACAAAAGAAAATTCCCTCTAATCTAGCTCATATCATCAATGTGAAGACCCTTGAGTAGGACAACAGTTTACTTTGGTATTTTCAAAGGTAAATGCTACAAAAAATCAGTCAGGGTAATTGTTCTGCCATCATTCTTAACATAGTTTATCAAGCCCCGAAAGCCTAGATAATTGTGATAATTTCATGTGTCAAATTGACTTGGCTAAGGGATGCCCAGATAGCTAGTAAAACATTTCTAGGCATGTCTGCAAGAGTGTTTCTGGAACACTTAACATTGGAATCAGTAGCCTGAGTAAAGATACCCTCACCAATGCAGATGGGCATTATCCAAGCCACTGAGGGCCTGAGTCTAACACAAAGGTGGAAGAAGGGAGAATCTACTTTCTGCTTGAGCTTGGACATCCATCTTCTCCTGCCCTTGGACATCAGCACTCCAGGTTCTTGGGCCTTTAGACTCAGACTGGGACTTAGACCACTGGCTTCCCTAGTTCTCCGATCTTTGGACTAGGACTATATTACACCACTGGCTTTCTGGTTCTCCAGCTTGCAGATGGCAGATTGTGGGATCTCCTGGCCTCCATAATTGGATAATAAATCTCCTCACATATATAATCTCCTATAAGTTGTTTCTCTAAAGAACCCTAATTAATACTATCATATATATCTATCAACCTACCACTAATATCTGCTGGACTTTAGTTTCTACTGAATGAGCTTGGAATTTCTTCAATGGCTCCATTCTGTATGAATTGGCAAACTTTAATTTTGCCAGGGCACTCTTCCATTCTTTACCTATATCAGCAATTGAGTCATCAAATGGAGGCTCCACATACTGAACGTCATGAAATGATTCTCTTAGTCGTTCTCTTAAAATCTGTGCATACTTGGGGGGGCAGAGAGAGAGAAAATGTAAGAGATGTTACTTTTTAAATTGCAAAATGAGGCCAGGCATGGTGGCTCACACCTGTAATCCTAGCACTCTGGGAGGTTGAGGCAGGCGTGTCACTTGAGCTCAGGAGTTCGAGACCACCCTGACCAAGAGTGAGATCCCCATCTCTACTAAAAATAGAAAAATTTGCCAGGCGTCGCAGCATGCGCTTGCAGTCCCAGCTACTCGGGAGGCTGAGACAGGAAGGATTGCTTGAGCCCAGGAGTT